TTCTGATTATCTGTACTTTAACTGAAACACTGCAAATCACTGACAATTTTGAGGGCATTCAAGAATGTGCTGGTAATTAACTTCTTCGCAAAAAGGCAACGGCCATTTTCAAACTTATGTACTAAGAATTATATGCAAATGCAAACAATTAATGAAATTAAAAAAAAAAGAAACTTAAAAAAATACAACACTTGCCTGCTTTGTTCTCCAAATATACACAATGATCTGTTTTCACTAAATAAAGTGTAGAACTGCAGAAATTCAAGATTCTAACAGAATCTGTGAACTTTGGCATTACACACTGGCGAAAAACAGACCTGTGCCCTATGGGTTTCTACATAAACACTATTTGGTGAAGTGGGCTGCCACAACTATTTTTTTAAAGAAATCTCTAAGTGCTGAAGTGTTTTCAGTTAATTTTTGGATTATGGTAACTTGGCGATTTTTTGGCGAAAATTTGGCAACCAACCCCTGCTAGTTTTTGTTTGGACGCCATTTTGTTTTCACAAAGTAAAGGCATGTTTTTTTTTTGTTTTGTTGTTTTTACCCAACACTTTTTTCCAACAATCTGCTAGCTGAATTACATTTATACTAGAACTTTTATAGAACAAAAGTGCTTAATCATGACGAAAATTACGTGCGAAATTGGGAGAAAGTGCAGAATCACAAACTGCTTGGCGTTTTTAAGAATTGCACATACACGGTAACCATGTACACGTCGACCTATTTTCACTTAAAAAAAATCCCAGAATTGCACAAAAATGGCATTGCGCACACTCTTGACTTTATCCATGTACACTGCTAAAGTCCTAGATAGTAAGTAACCTTTATCGCCTTACCAAAATGTTGCCAAACTACCTGTTACCATATTCCAAAGATTAGCCGTGTTTTACTGTGAAATAAATTACACTGGGCTCTTGGAGATTGAAGTCTATCATAAATAAAATTAATTTTTTCGTTATTAAAACTAGTGATTTTTTCTAAACAAACAATCTAGCAAAATTTTGCTAATCTCCTTTTTCTGGCTACCGTAAACAATTTCATAATTTTCTATAAAGAAATTAATATTTTTGGTACTTATGTATTATTCCATCAATTGACAAAACAAATAAGTTAATTGGTTAGTTAAATAATAGTTGATCAATTAAATAAGAAATTAATATTTTTGGTAATTACATATTATTCTGTCGACCTGCCAAGTAGCACAGTTTGGCGACTGTTGTTGAAATTTCCAATAATGGGCAACAGGATAATATGTAAGTACATATTTTTAATACAGTAAAATTTAGAGTCTAAATAAAGTTTGTGCTTAATTTATTTACACGTTTTAACTATTTTGTTGATTTAAATATAAAAAGATTACACAATATGCAATGTGAATTTCTTAAGAAGCTAGTAAATTAATTAGATGAACTAATCTGGAAATATTTAATCTTTAAATATTAATATGAAAAACAATTACGTTTTTGTGCAAACCTAATGTTCTTTATTTACTTCATAAATATTACTTATGCCCTGTTTTTCCCACTGAAATCAAAAACTTGTGACAAAACATAAATGCAAAAAATTAATAATAATATTTAGCATCAATAAAAATACTAAACTGAATTCTAATAAGTTGTGTATTCTGTTTTAACTTTGTTTAATTTTCAGTATAAAAAAAACACCTATGATTATGTGTTTCACTTCTACATAAAAATAAAAACTAATTTCAGGTTTATTTTAATTGAAACAAATACATCGTGCTTATGAAAATAAAACATATTTACATATTGTCTCATCTCAGACATGAAATGGATGCCAAACAGCAGCAATTATGCAGGGCTGTGAAGTCGGTAGGGAAAATGATCGACTCCGACTCCCTCATCTATATATGTAAACATATATGCATGGGTTACAGCTTATTTTTTTAATATAAAAGAAGTAATCGATGCTACAGAAAAAAATTGATGGCATAGCAAATTATTTATATTAATTAGCATTTATTATGAAATGGAAAAGCTGGCATTAGTTATTTCTAAGAAACAGTATAGCTTCGGCAAGTTCTTTGTTGGATGCCCATAGATCCGATTTGATAAACTTCAGAGCTGAGAAGAGTCTTTCCACATTAACTTGAGTTCAAGAAGAGCTGTTACCGTTAGGGCTACTTCTTTTAACTTTTCAGGATAGATTTTTTATAAGTTTTAAAAGACATGTTTTGCAAGCACAATTATATTTCTCTATTTCTTCAAAGGCCGTGTAGAAATCTTGTTTGTATTTTTTCATTTTTATATCGAAAGGCTCTTTGTTCTTTATTTTCATTCGCTTTGCCTTAGCCTCTTCAATATTATCCAAAAATATTTCTCAAAATCTAATTCATCACTGGAAGAGGATGATAGAGACTCAATTGCATGTCTGCAGTTTGACTGTCCTGATTCGAATTCTCCATTCTTCTGAAATAATTTCATTCTTAATGAAAGTTCATAGATGACTTTCTTTGCCTTTTTAATTTGTTCGTCATTCAAAAAAATTCGGTGTTTCGGATCTACATATATTGAACCCAGCAAGATCTCATTGTCTAGCAACTAGTTTCTCTTTTCTTCATTGAAGACATGATTCCTTCTGCAATAAACCCTCCATTTCAGAAAGAACAAACTTCACATTCTTCCATTCTCGCCTCCTGCCAATTCTTCAGATTGCAGCTTTTTTATGGCTATATACAATGTAGAAAGAAGAGTTTCCAATTCTGCAAGATCATTCCAGTCTTTCTGTTAGTGAAACAGTAGGGTTATCTACATCTTCTAAAAAGTTCTTAATTCTAACAACCCCTTCATCAAAGATGTACTTCCTTATAGCGTTGCTTGATCAATAATTGCTCCTTTTCCTGCTCGCTTCCTAAAAATGGCATCAATTTTAGGAGTTCTTGCTGCTATTGCTGCTTACCTAAATTTACCGGTGAGATTTGTAACTAAATGAATTAGTTTAACTGCTAATGGCAAATATCACATCCATCCTTATATTTATTTATTAATATGTCAATAAAATAGGAAATAACTATTTACTAATGTATACAATCTGTAAATAAAAATAATAACTCAGCTTGTCATTCATTTTTTCAATTCATTTTAACTTCATTTCAAATTCAAACTCCAACAAAAACTGGAATCAGAGTCGACCTGTCTTTAGTGACTCCAACTCCTTTTACCTCAAAATCTGCCTGACTCCACAGTCCTGCAATTATGGATAAGCATCCTGTTAGAACACACTCGCAACATCTCTGCTTTTATTTGATGTAACTCCAATTGATTCTTGAAAAGCCATCTTTTGTTTTCATGAACAAGGATATAAGTTAACTGTTAATACTACACTTTTCCCTTGCATTTTGAAAAAATAAATAAATTTGGAACCTGCCTTCTACAGACCAGCAAGCAGTAGATTATTTTCAAAGTTATGAATTCTAACAGGAAAAAAGTGTGATTTAACAGACATGATATAGCCAACAAAGAGTAACTGATAAGAAAAATTACCTGCACAAAGTATGTACTCTTAGTGTTGTAAAAGTTTCTGGTAAAATTGGAAAGCCTCACAAAATACTAGCTATCCTCGACTTTCACACAATTCACTCTTTAACACATTTTTTAAAAGAGCTTTCTTGATATTGCAAAAACTGTGATTTAAAACTGAAGCCAGTGTTAGTTAGTTAGCAGAAAGAATAGAAACCAAGTAGAAAATCCCAAGGCATTCAAAGAGAAAGATACAGAATTTCTTCCAGTCATTCAGAAATCAATTAAAAAGTATTGTATGTGTGATTATGACAAAGCCTCGAGGGTTATCTGCCTAAGGGGAGGGATGCCTTCGTGGAAGACTTTCTAAGGGAAACTTGGCTCGTATACACGTTACACATGGGAAAAACCACGAAAACGTCCATGCAGCCAGCCCGTTCGCGGGATTCGAACCTCGGACCAAACTACCAGTGTTCAGCGACTTTACCGCTCGGCCGCTGGTGGGCCTCAAATCAATTAAAAAGTCTTGGCTCCTTACAGATTGGTTCCTTTTTCATTCCGTGCCAGCAATTAGGCAATACTGTAAAGATAAAAATTTATAATTTAAAGCATTAAACAATGCTCCAGGACATCCAAAAATCTGCAGAATTTATACCTGGAAATCATACCTATGTTTCTTCCTCCTAATACTACCTGCCATGGATACGAGCCAGTTTCCCTTAAAAAGACCTCCACTGGGCATCCCTCCCTTTCCATGTAGTGCCTAAGGGCAGAGCACGTAATAAGCAAAAAAAAAAAAAAAAAACTACCTGCCTCATACTGCTCATGAATCGAACAGTGATACCCACATTTAAACAACATTATATGAGAACAATAATGAACCAGACCATCAAAGCTGTCCTATATCAAGAGATTTTTGGAAGAATTACAAGATATGGAACACAATAAATACCACTGGAGAATTCTGGGTTGAAATAAAAGTCATCAATGAAAGGTTCCTGGAAATGAAGAGCGTTTTTATAAATGACAAAAATATCTCAGGTTATCCTAATGAATGAACTAAAACATAAGCAATGAAGATTTAATGAGTTGATCGAATCTTTTGCAGTACCTCATTCAAATTAATACTTAATCGATCAAAAAGAGTTCAATGAAATAGATAATGAAAGTGAAATATTTTAAAATAGAATTTTTTATTTTTTTTTAATCTCTCTATTTTTAAAGATTCAAAATTCGTACACATTTTCAGGAACAAATTATGAGCGAAAGTCGAGAGCTGCCTGCCGTAGAAAATGACAAAAGCTTTACATAGTGCAAAAATAAAGCAGGTTGAAAACTGATTGTTTATTAAATAAAGAGCCATGAGTTCCTTCAGAATTCTGCACAAATTAGAACCAGAACTTAAATAGAATTCCCGTGAACTTTCACTGCTGATGGGATAATACGTTAAGTAACAAAAATAATTCCATTGCTTAGTGTTCTCAAAAAAGCTTGCTTTACGGAGGGAAAAAAAAAACATTTGTATTGACATGATAATCTTTATTAAAATAAAAAATGATAAAAGCCGAGTACAATTTCTCTAATTTACTTTACAGTAAGATATTTTCTGCTGGCCATTTGGCTTACAGGAAATAAACAATCCAGTTATTTGATTTTTGGAATATCCAAAGGGCTTGTGGTCCCAATTATTCTATATATTTGGAGTTTTACAGTACTTGAAAATCAGAAAGTTTGTGCTTTAAATAAAAAATGAACTACTTGATTTATTTGGGCTGAGTACTTAAGATAAAAATCAAAGTAGTTAATTAAAAAGATCTAATCTAATCAATATCTTAAAAATAACATAGATTGTGCACATGAGTTCATTCAAAGAAATAAAAAGTTCTTTTTACCAAATTAATTATTAAATATTAATCTCACATTTTAATTCAAGAATATTAACTTTTTTATAAATTTAAGACACCTAACTTCAACAAGGCAAAACTAAACTAGCCATACTAAAAGTTTAAAACTTCTAGCTTACTTTGCACTTTCATATTTAATTTTTTGTGATTAAGTAATATTATTACAATTCCATATTTTTAACAGCTTAAAAAACAAATGTTAACAATAAGCAAGTAAAAGCATTTTTAAGTACAGTAGAAAACATTAAAAAAAATTATCACATTAGTAAATAAAAATTGCTATTAAATTACAAAATCAGCTCCATTTATGATATTTTTCTTTATCTAAAAGAGACCAGTTAGGAGATGGAGTACCAATAACTAGCCAATTAAAGTCATCTATTGAATCCCAATTATTATTTTCTTTATCAATACCAGCAGTAATAAAGTCAACATCTTGGCCATCATATGTCCAGTTGTACGGTGCAAATTGCAAGTCTTTGCAATCTTCAATGATGGTTCGGCTTGTAACATGCAAGTAGAAATCACAATTTGTGCAACTATGTACCCTTAATTGCTGGCATGCAAATACAAATGTACACTGTCTACAATTTTCTATAAACACAGATGTTGAAACAGGACCTGCAAAAACACGGCAGTCAGATAAGCCACTTATAAATATTGTGCTAGGTGCACCATATAAATGAATAGTACAGTCTTGCAAATGATGGAGACCTACATCTTGTTTTTCTATTTCATGCCGGAATTTTACCAAGTTTTGCTGTGATAAGTCCTTGAAACCACATTTACAAAGCTTGATCATTGAGATTGGATCAGCCGTATTATTCAGACTAATCTTTTCCTGGCAAGGAGGTTTAATACCATTCTGTAATTTCCTTTTACTCTTGAAAGCAAATTTCTTCTTTGGAATTAAATTGTACTGAACTACATGTATGTCTTCTTGCAGCATTTTCAAACTTTCTTGTGCCTTCTTTATATCATATGTGGGTAAAAATAAAGTAGAATCAGACAAAAACTTTTGCAATTCTTGAAAATCCCTTACAATGCCATCGAAATACGACGTAAGACTATTTTTATCAATATTAGGAGCATTGTAAAGTTTAGCCTCAATCTGCTGCTTCAATTGACTAAATGTACTATTGAAATAATCCGTCTGTTCATAAACAGATGTTCTGTTATCTTTTTCACATTTTTTCCTTTCCATTTCAGCAAGTCTTGCTTCTGAACGCTGAACAAGTTTATCAACCATTTCTTTCTTCTCTGCAGCACAGTCCTGCATGATAACTTCAAAGCTTTTTTGATCCTTCATTGCTGCTGGAACACTATTACACATTTTAAAAATACAGAAATGATTCTCAGTTTATACTTTGAACATCTTCATAAAACACTCCATACAGAATAGAGCATACTTCAATATCCACTGAAGAACCTACAAAAAAGGAATTTCATACATTTAATTTGATAAATTTTACACTATAATTTCATTATATGCTACAGAAAACAAATTTTAATAATTTTAATTCAAAATAAAGTGAATTCAAATTTTGATAATCTGAATTCAAAATATACTACGCTGAATTTATGTGGCATATACAGAGAAATAAATTCACTTGAAATATGTAAAATGACTGGTCATCAGAAACTTATTTCAATAAATTAGAGAAAAATAAAAATTTTAAAATTGAACATTCATGAAAGGTTACTAATGTTATGCATTTTGCATTACAATTTAGAAGCTTTTAAGTTAAATCCATCAATTTTAATTTACAGAAACAAATCTTTCCAACTTTTTTTTACAAAATTACTTACTTTATAGGAAAAAAAAATGTTATATCCGGATTCTGCCAAAATATCTCATCAAATAACCATGATTTTCAGATGTAGGAAATATTCATGAGAGAAATTCATGAAAAGATGTTGAGACAAATATAATGAAACAAATACCATTACTTAGGTCTCATTTTAGAGCTTGATTTATATAACATTAAATCACGTTTCTTTTAATCATATGATCTAGATCAGTGACCTCAAACTGGCAGGTAGCAAGTACATTTTCCATAAATTAATTATTATTATTATTATTATGACAACAACTCAAAGAAAGTTTTTCAGTTTTAATGATTTGGTGTTCAATTTGATATTATTACCACTGAAAATAAAGGTGAGTAATGCCCCAGAAAATTTTTAAATGGAATTAATTTACACTGTTGTATAAATTTTATTCAAAGATTTGAAGATACAGATTTGATAATTTTTTTACACTTATCAAAAGATCAATACCCTCAGTTAACAATTTTTGGAATACAAATATTTGCTTTATTGTGGTGTACATTCATATGTTAACAGCTTTTTTTCTCTCCATTTAAAAATTAGCAAGTCTAAAAAGAACCAAACTGAACATCTACAATTCATAAAGATAGTTTCTAATAATTTTTCTCTAAGGCTATAAATTTTATCAAAATTGAAATGCCACAAGATGTAGAAAAAATATTGAAGAAATTTATACATATTTACATAGATACATGCAATTTTTCTCTATGCACCAAAGAAAAAATTAATAAATAAAAGACGGAGAATAGGTTGTCATTATTTATTAGTAAGTTTTGTCATATTTATAAAGTTCTTCGTAATATTTTTATTTATCTAAACAGTTATTTACTGATTTATTCAACATATTAGAATTACTTGAAATAAAGTCAAACTGAAAATTTAATATTCAGTTGTCAATAAGTTTGAATTATCAAATGTAACCATCAGAAATTTCTTGCAATTTACCTTTAAATTTCAAGCAGGAAATAAATATATATTGGAATTTTTTCCTTTGCATCATCATTATTATTATGTGTGTTTTAATAAATATTTAGTAAAATTTTATATTTAGTTCTGTTGAAAAATCTTGTTTTGTGGAAAAAAAAAAGGAAGGGAGTGGCTCGTCAGTTTTTTAGATCATACATTCAGCCCACATACAATATAAAGCTTACTTATGCTCCACTATGTTAATACAAATTCTGAAAATTCCTTTAGTTCTAGAACAAATCATTCCATATAATTCTATGAAGAAATCATAATTATTCAGTAAAAATTATTAACAGTTTGACAGTCTAATCTATTAATATATTGAGTTATTCATTACCAGCTGCCCGTTATAAAAATCTTATGTATTATTTCAGACAATCTGAACAGGAAACAAAAACAATGAAGTAGAACCTTGAATCACAAACGCCTCTTATAAACAAATAGTATTTCAGGTGACAGATAGTATCTCAAGTTCTGAACACACAAGTCAGTAACAAATGACTTTCAAAGGCATTTTGAGGTAAACTCTGACACAAAATTAAGACTTCTACAAATTGAGACTTCTGAAAACAAAATTTGAATATTCCCTATTGTCAATGTCTGGCAACAAATTACTCATGACCTTATCACATACACCAATGATTGCCATTTTTAAGTACATTTACTTTAATATTTGGTACTCATTCCCCGAAAGTCTACAGATAATTCAAAAATGGTAGTTCAGTCACTGAAACTAAAATATATTATTTGATAACATATTTAATTATTAATTCTTTATTAATGCACTTTTAGAGTGTAATAATAATCTGTACCAGAAAATTTCTATATATAAAATAATAAATTGTAAATTGCTCATTTATGATATTAAAGACTAAAGGTACAATCTGCCAATTACCACGATTATCATAAAGCTAGTTTTGCAGTCTTGTTTTCCCAATTAATGCTATTCCTGTTCATGCAGTATTTATACGTACAAATCAATGTACTTCTTGTATGTACAAATCAATGTACTTCTTGTATGTACAAATCAATGACAGTCTGCCATTTCCACAATATTCTTTGTCATGAGATGTTATAATAAATCATTTAGCAACTGGAATACTCTTCAGTGAACACATACTTGATTTAATATTCATTTTTAATGTTACGTTTTTAATTTACGAGAACAAAATCGAATAATATAAATAACTTTATAAAATGGTAAAAAAAAGGAGTAATTAAATGCTACCAAATATTTTTAAAACTGCTATCTTTAGAAGCTGATCAAACCATTTTGCTTGGTTTGAAATTTATGCTGACAATGGGAGAACTTCCAATGAAATTAATGCTGCTCATTTCTCAACAAACACACTGCCCAGGATTCTAAAGTAATTATAATTAGTTCAGAAATAACAAGGATAGTTACTTTGATGAAGTGCTCCTTCCTTCTATAGATATGCAAAATTACAATTTTCAGGTAAACTGGTATCTCAGAAAAGCCTTTCATGAATGTTAACCTTCAAGCACAGAGGTGGGGTCTGTATGATCGCACCAATATTTCAGAACTGCGAAAATGTTTATAAGTTATATAGTTATTCTTTTCCTTTTCGGTACTTTCAAGTTGAAATAAAATATAGCTATTCTTAAATTTTTATTAAACTCTATCCATTAGTTTTTTTTAAATAATTTTTTTAATTGAGCCGCGGTCATATAGACCTCACCTCTGTGTTCATGTTAATTTTCTCTCGCATGAGGGGGGGATAGCTTTATCACTACTTGAGTATCGAACTTGTAAAAGAACTTAACTCTAGAGGTTTGACAAATGTCGGTACTATGAAAAAAAAAAAAAAAAAAAAAAAAAAGAAGGGAGAAATACGAAATGAATTTTTTCCATATAAACAAAAAGTGAAGGATCTTCCCTTTATGCGTTCACAGATAGAATGACTCTCGTTTTATATGTGCCTCAAAAATTAAAAAGTGCTATTCTCATTTCTTTAATGCATCATTCAAAATCAGATGACCTTGAAATTGGGAAACCAGAAATAATAACATTTAATAATTTGACTAAAGGATGTGTAGATGTACTGGATGAAAAATGTTCTAAACATTCTACAAGTCGAAGAACAAGGCGATGGCCAATGGCCATATTCCTTAGGTTACTTGATGTATGTGTAATTAATGCACATCAATGGAAAAAAATCAATTTTTTGATGATCAGAATTAGTGAAACCACATATTGAACGGAGGCTTCAAAACCCAACTGTAAACTGAGAAATAAAAATGTGCATTCAGGGAGTGATAGGAGTTTCCAGCGGAATCTATTCTAGCCAAGATGTAACTGATACCCTTAAAAAGTGTAAAATATGCTTTCTTTGTCTCCCTAGACCAAGAAGAAAAACTACCTATCTCTGTTTCAGCTGCAAGAATCCAATATGTAATGCATGTGCCAAGAGAATTTGCTAAAAATTGTGTTGAAAATGCTTAAAATAATGTGCTGCAGTTTTTTAATATTCTTTATATATTATACTTCTTTTGCATTATTTTATCTAATCCAGATTCTATAGATGGAAAATTTATTAAATAGTTTAGTTTGTACACATTTGCAAGTAAGTAGTGTTTTATGTTTTTTGCATATGATTTAAACACTAATTCTTAATCCACCAATTTTAGTTATAAAAAGAATTAATTTCTTCAATATAACAAAGTGTATTAATGCTTATATAATAACAATAGTACATGATTTTTAAATTTTATATTTTTAAAATGCATAAAATAGAGCATGGTCTGAGAGACCCCTCCTCTGTGTTTACATAACAGAAAATGAACCTCTGTACTTAAGGGT